TACCTTTTTTACATCTTAAGTGATATAGTTTGTATATTTTTACATATATATATATATTAATTATTTATGAAGACTAAATTGTAACTGGAGCTTATGGAAACTGATGGAGCTGTTTCTTACCGAGTTTAAACTGAGTCCAGAACATGAATTTGTACCTTTATGTGAATTGATCTCAAAACTATTGAAGTTTGAGCTGAACTAGAGCTCCATGATTTTAACAGAGTCAAACTTCAAGAATTTGATTCGGTTCCATTTGGTTCCACCCCAATTTTGGATAAAAAGGGGTTGATCCTTTTGTCAACATAGTGGATTGTGGCTCCTTGGTGAGAGTATTGAGGTGTAGGTGGGGTCTTTATGGATAACTTATAAAACTTCTTTTGTGAGAAAAGCTCAGAAAATCTCAAGAAAAAATAAGTTGGCCTACTGGACGAAGCATCTCCTCTCTTTTTCGTTTCTTTTTTAGAGAAAAAGATAAAAGGATAAACATTAAAAGGGCACCAAGCAGGTGCTACCCATATGCAAAAGCAAACTCATTCGAGGTGAGAAAAGTTCAAGAAGATTATCAATACCACCTCATCAAGCAGTCCTAAAAAAAATATGAAGGTCACTTAACCAGTAATACATTTGCATATAAATACATATACATTTGAAACTGATATTTACAGGGTACCAAAGATGCACCTCCCAAGTATAAATACATTTGCGTAGTAGCTTAGTCAATTTTTATAGGTTTTCCTTGAGGAAATGATCCTATATTAAAACATACAAGGTGATGATTGAAAATTCCTAATTCCACCAAAAAGAAGGCAAACACCGAAATATCCTTATTTTGTCTTCTCTCCAAAGGACGTAAAAAAATAGCTGGAGAATGAAAGAAACAAGTATCTTTCCTGATCTGCCCAGAGTTTTGGTGCCACCCAACCATTCAACTGACATTACAAAGGTTCATTGGAAGAACCCCACAACTTTCTGGCCTCCATGCAGTATATGACATGGATGGCTGGGGTATTCTTTCTCCTCAAATGCGGAGGGGGCACCGATTAACGAGAAGTCTAACCCCTCTCAGCTCTCATCATATTATCTATGATAAGAATCTTGCCCCAAGGCCCAAGTTGCTTCCCAAGCAAAACAAAGTCTACCCTATCTCAATTATCATTAGGTTACCTATGGTAAGAATCTTGCTCCAAGACCTGGGCCAAGTTGCTTCCTAGCCAAAAAAAAAAAAAAAAAAAAAAATCTGAGGGCAGGCTTGTATATATTCTGTTCAAGGGGCATTTCCTCCTCAGTATGGAAGACCTAAGGGAGTTCATATGCATTTTGCTTACCACATTTTATAAATGTCTGTTTTGTACATGGGTGATGGCTTCTGAGTTCATTATTAAGGAATGATTTTCCAATTAAAAGTTTTATACATAAGCGATGGTCCCTTAGTGCAGTCTGAAGGAATCATTTTCCCTCTTTTTCCTCTTTTACAAGAAAATGGAATAATATTAAAAAGAAAGAACCTATTACCGTACTTTTTCTATTTTTTAGATAGTTTGGAAGGAGAAAAATACTAGAGCTTTGTAGGAGAGGAAGTCATATTGGATGGTTAGAGATGTTATATAACTATTTTTGGTTTAACAGGGATTACTGTTTAGAATGAAGTGAAATCTGACTGTATGTATATTTATACCAGAGTAGCTTTTCATACATATGTGTATATATATATTCACATATACATGCATGCATGCATGCTTTTACAATATATATATATATATGTGGGCAGCACCTTTTTTGGTGTGTTTGGGATAATTTTTTTGGTAAAACCTAATAATATCACATAGATCTTCTCAAGATGCTCTTATCCTTTAGAATTTAGGGAGATGATACTTTTGCACTCAGCACAGTCAGTTGGTTATCTAGCTTAAGACTTGTTGCCTAAGCTGGATTTATCATAAGATTCTTAATGCGAAGCTATTGCAAATGGTTTAAGCCAGTGGTGCCTTCGCAAATGGAGCAATACTGAACCTATACATGATCACTATTGTAGTTCATTTTTTGAGAACATTCTTATAACATTGAATCCAATAAACGTCTTGCATAATCATTTCTCTAATTGTAGGGAAGCAATCTATCATTTATGACAAGGAGTTTGTTCTTTGTGAGGACATAAATTCAGGAGATTATTGGGTGACTGAGGGTGTTTCCCTGTGATCCTTTTTTTATTAGGTCACCTATTTAAGCATATGATCCGCTTTTTTATTAGATCAATTATTTAGCATGTTTTTTATACAATCAAACTAAAAAATATGGTCTCAAAAATACAATTATTTAGCAATTTTTTTTTTATTTCAAAGAAAAAAGCTTGCTTAAATGGCAACTTTTGCCAGTTTGTGTAGATGCTTCTGGAGGGAAAGGACTTGTTCCTTTTATTTCTTCTTGAATTCAATTAGGGTTTGTGTTTAAATGTGTATGTCTCTTGTACTTTCATTATCCTAATTACAGGCAAAGCTTTTTCTTAAAGAAAGGCAACATATTTTACCAAATTAAGAGTATATGTGCATTCAAAGATCCTGTTGTTTTATCATCTCTATTACTTCTTGTATTCTGACTTGATTTTTGCTGTAAGGGATGAGCTATGGGCTTGGAAGGGCATGAACGGTAGGAAAAAATATTTGGCCTTCTTCCTCTCACAATTTTTTGGGTGTATTGAAAAGAAAGAAACAGAATGTCTTTTGAGGGAGTGGTCTAAGAGATTGAGAGGTTTAGAGATTGGTGGTATCACATGTTGGACTGTCTGGTCACCGGTAATATGTCTTTCACTATTAAGGATTTTGGTAACCTTATCGAAATCCTGTTGGATGTGTATATTTTTTATATACGAGTTGACACCCCCTTGATGCCTGTAATTAATGAATTCATTTATACTTTTATTTAAAAAAAAAACTTGGCTTTTTCTGTGACTAAATATAAAGAACATTGAGGGGAGATATTATTTTACACAGCTGAGGGACTAGAAGTAGAGCCTTTTAAGGATCTTCTTTTTCCTGTAATGACTGTTATGTGCATGGGTTCCTTGCATGGTTGATTCCAATGCCTTCATGATGTTTGTGCCACGCATTTAATTATATATTTTTGTACGGAATGGTTGTTTCAAATATTAGATGTGCTAAACCATGCTTGACGGGTTCAGGGTTTTGTTATTGCTTTTCCCGTTCCTCTGTAATTCTGCTACCTTTGTGTTTATTTTAACTTTATCTTTGTGATATATGAAGAGGAAATGAGTGATTATGTGGGATCAGAGGAAAAAAGATAAAAAAATTCTCTCAAAAGAAAAGAGATTGCTCCTAAATGAATTTGGTGATGGAACTTAATTTATATAACTTGCTATATTTTGCTCCAATGCTTCATCTTCATTGAGATGTTATCAGAATATATTGGTGCAATGCACTTGCGTGAGCGTGTGCATCTGTGAATGCATAAGCTGATTTCTTTCTCACCTTCTTTTGATTTTGTTAACTTATCTGGCTTTCACCTTTTGGTAGTAGAGATTCTTTGTTTCTCTTGTTTTGTCGTGTCCAATATTTATCTACTAGAAGGAAAGAAAATATAAAGTGATGCATAATGTTAATGCTGATATTTAGCTCTAACTTTTGGAGCATGACATGTATAGGGTGGAGGATTTTGGACATGTATTGAGATGTATATCTTTTATACATGAGTTGCACCCCCTTGGTGCTCTAGCATTTATATACTGTTCATACTTTTTATCCCAAAAAAATGTTAGTGCTGATATTTCTTTTCCTAATCATTTATGTTGTTCAGCCCTTTTATTGCGAATATCTTGGTATATGGTTAGATGCTTAATGCAACATTCCTATCAGTTACTCTTTTTTATGTCTGGCTATTTTGCTGCGGTGACCTTTTGCTTTTGATTCGGGAATCTTGCAGTTTTTGGAAAACTTGTGTAATTGAAATATCAACTATTGAGCTATATAGTTAAAGTGCTGTTCAAACGCCCTCTTTTGCAAGAGGCTTGCTGAATGTAACAATCTCAGGGTCTTTTCACTCTTTCAAGTGCTCTTTTTTTAGCTTTTCCTTTTGTTGTGAATATAAAGTTGAAGGGAAGTAACTTTCACAAAATATAGTTTTTTAACAGGAGTTTTCTGGGGTTTGTAAAATCATTTTAAAACTGTTGTGGTTAAGGATTTAGAGAGAAATATCTTCTTTTTTGGCGGTGGAAGAAAAGTTGGAAAAACTTGACTTGTGCTATTTTTCCATTTGAAGTTTCATGCTTTGTTGAGCTTTTGGAATGTTATTGGAAGTCATTAGATGTGGCAACGAAAAGCTCAACCAAGAAGGCATTAGGTCTAGTCATTTTGGTATGGTGGCTATTGCTTTTTTATGTACTGGAAGCTAGCAGTTTTAAAAATGTTATGGAACTGAAACATTCTGGTTTCTGTTTGTGCCACTGTTCTTGGAGAAAATTTGGAGACAAAATGAACGAGTTGAACTTACA